TATTAGTTAAGGATTTCTAAAAGTATCAAGATCGTTAGAAAGGTGATTCATAAAAGCACTAAGCATGCCGGTTCCCAATATTCTAGTCTTTTCGTTGCGCATTCGAGAGCGTGATCTATGGTGGGGAAGGGGCTGTGCAGAGTGAGAAGTGAAGATGCCCAATGAGATTACATCGTTCTACTTTGGGAAGGCTCTGATTATGTGCGGCGTAGTCGACATCGGCCAGCTAGTACACCAATATACGAGTGTTAAGATTTGGATTCACCACGAATTCTACGACCGTTCAGAATCGTGGGGTGTTTTGAATGCGATTTGTTCTATGTAATAACTTGTGTGTGTCATCAACATCCTATGTCGAAGTCATCTTGCTGAACCCAAGAACAAGCCGAGTACTAACTACAATCTAGTTCGCTGCGGACGGTTGGGCGTGTCAGGCAGTATGAGTGTTCACACCGTCAAAGCCGTTCTCTGCCTTCTTGTTGAAGCGCGCATGCGACAAAAAGTGGTAGAAAACGAGTAATACGAACGATATGATACAGTCATATCACTTGCTCGCTTTAACAACTGGTGGAGAACGGGTTTGGCACCGCGCCAAACTCATCCCGCCTGACACACCACCGTCCTCAGCGAACTACACTATAATTTGCCTGGTAAGAATAGGTGGCCTAGTTGGCCAGGACGCGAGCTGATGCGGGTTGACCGCGGGCATGGCAACCGGCGCGCTTTGCCACTACACCCAGGGTGCAGCATCGTGATGTGTGAGGTGGTGGTGTAGGTACGAGAGAGGGTGTAGTACGATCCCTCCCCACCTAAATGAATGACTCGGTACGACCCCCCCCCCCATGTGTTTCACATAACTGCTGCAATGCTGTACAATAACAATACCACCTCCGTCCTTTCTCGAAACATGAAAAATTGCTGAGAGAGGAATCCTGTTCCTCTTCTGCATCACTCACTTCTCAGCGTTAGCAAGCACGACCACCCATCAATCTGTCCACCATTAGTGGACAACTTTAATGAAAACCGAAAAAGTTCCCATAACTCTTTCGAGTGCACTGCTACCGCAGAAAATCGAAACAGCCCAAAACCTGCGATTATCCTTTTTGCTCGGATACGGTGGTCCTTCTCGCTTATTTGCCACGTGACGTATTCATGGCAGTTTTATGGCCATGCCCACGCACTCTGCTCTCCTCCATGGGGTGACCCTGCTCGACTTTCCCATGAAATCGAGACGAGTGGGAGTTCACCTGCAATCTCACGACTATTTCTGAACTTACCTGTGACGACTGGAAGTTCTCTGCAGCAAACCAAAGCAAGAAATTGCCCCCGAAATGACGACGGGCATCGAGCGCCCGGTGACGGCGGCGCCGCGCGGTAGCCGCGGCGTCGCGCGCGGGCACGCCGTGCGTCGTCATTGTAGTGAGCGAGCGAGCGAGCTATTCAACGTGTACCAGAGGGAAAGCGAACAAAACGGTTTGAAATGACGGCATCTGGTGCTGCCGACGGCAAATTTGCATCACTTATTTCATATTCATGACCGGCTTTCTTTACGAACTGTTTTTATTTTTTTTATGAAATGATAAATTGTTTCAGCGGGTGGTGTGGTTCCGGTAAGGCTTTAAAAAGTTTTCAGTGTGTTCGTAAATTTCTTTCAATATTCCGTTTTCAGGAGATTACCTACTGGATTTCAGAAAATTATGATTTTTCATACGTCTTTAGTTTTTTTTAATCTAATAATTGCCAACGAAATGATATTTGTCGAAAGGTGACTGACAGCCCCGTGAGCTTTTCCGCCACCAGTTGAAAGCCTTCTTCCGGAACAGGATTTGCTGTTTGCGCCTGTTCCAGAAGGGCCAGCCAGACCGGTCCGAAAGAAGGGTCGTCGACCACCTAGCCGGAGCGATTGTAATCGCACGCCCATTGGATGTCCTCATTCTTACCCTCGAGAAATCCAACCCCTTTTCCATGTCCAGGATTGATCGCTCTTTTCTCTTTAGTTTACTGAACTATTCCCTTTCAATCAAAAGTCAAGTTTTTTTTCTGTTCGCATGTTGAATCACTAACCTGTCTGGAGTCCCTGCTATTTTCCGGTTATCTCAGCTGATATCGCCATGATATCAGCACATTTCACGTTTCTTTCGTACAGATGTGGCTGTTCTTTTGGTTGAGCGGCCTTTTGGCAGCTTCAGTCATTCATGGCCAATTTGTCGAGTCTGAGCCATGCTTCTGCAAAATTGGCGAAGCTGTCGAGTCATGTCGTTGTGACGAGCCCAACATCGACCAACTAAATAACGTCGAAATTTATGATAAACTTCAAAAACTTCTCAAACGAGACTTCTTCCGCTTCTACAGGGTGAGTCATTTTTGTAATTTTTTTAGCTCCTATAATCTTTTCTCATTTCTTTCAAATGAACTTGCTTTTCTTTCTTTTCTCGAGTGTAACACGGTGATTAAACTTTACTGTCAATGCACAATTAGTGGTTAACAGGCCTGCCGGGCCAAACATTATCAGAAAAATAATGCGGATCGATCTGAAATCCTTCCCGCTGGACGCGATAAGCCGTTTATCGCTTGGTTTCCCCGCGGATGGTCATAAATATAATGACGTTCACAACTTTCCCAGACAAATAGAATCTTTACATCAGCGGCTTCAAACGTCTTTTTGAAGAAAAGGAATAAAGACGTCCTGGTAGATAGGAGGGTAAGAGCTAAGGCAGGGGTTTTCTCCGCGTACACGGGTGGTAACGCATGTAGGCGCTAATGCAATAAGGTACTATATTTTCTTAATTCCTGCAAATAAGCCGAACCTTTTTGCTACGTCCCCTCAATTCCCTCAAATACGAGTTTCATATTTTCCAGTTTGAATTTCGGTTTTTTCGATCCTTTTTTTATATTGGACGGCATTTAGTGGTGGAAGATGGGAATTAAACGTTAATAGTCAAGGACAAAGTTCTCAGTCTAAGTCGAGGGGGAAATAAGTTTGAGTTAGGTAAACAAATCCCTTGTACAAAAAAGTTTTCAGGACATAACAAGATAACTCGGCACTTTTACAGGAATTTACAATGTGCCCCACCTTATTACACTAGCGCCCTGATGTGATCTAACTGTCCAGCGAACCGTACTTTTTATAAATTTCGCGTTCCGCATGGTATCTCTTGTCAGAGAGTATACTCCATGCTGGGTTATTTTTAGCAGCCGGCAGGTATCTGGGAAAAAGTTTCAGACGATTATAAGTTTTAACTAGGTACGGTTACACATAGCCGTTGCTAACTTCAAAAAGCTTTGGGCTTCAGAGCTCAGCATGTAGTGTACTCTTCCCGCGATTTCTGTTTCCGCCAGTACTTTAACCACTGCACTATCAGCAGCCCTTGGCCAACGGAGAGGACGAATCGTTGGACTCAAATTCGTAGGCAGTTCCTTATTCCAAAGTTAAGAAAACTTGTAAACAGAATCGGCAGCAAAGCACATTTCATGACGCTGCGGATGATGGGGCGTGTCCGCGCGGCTGCGTTTGGCGCGCTGCCAACTCGTTCTCCACTAGTTGCCGAAGAGGGTAAGTGACAATAGTTGCTGGAAATGACTGATATGAACGATATGGTACGGTCTTCTCGCTTGGTGAAAGAAAAAAAAGGGTCACGCCGCGCCAAACGCAGCCATGCTGACACGCCCCATCATCCGTCGCGAACTATACAACGAATGCTTTCAACAATTCTTCTCACGCTCAGTGCACGCATTTACGTTGCCTGTAGACAGTTCGCATAGCAATGATGTGTCGCTTGGGGTTTTTAAGAGTCTGCGAGAACGACGTTTCGGACACATTACAATTTTATGAGTATTCATCATTTAATACTCGATCAATAAGTGTATCGAATTGGAATGAGTGAAGAGTCTGGAACCTCCAGTGAAGCGTTCTTTGTTGCTTCAGTGCGATTTCATCTGAGTAGTCAGTATTGGGACAAAAAACTAATGAAAGCAACTGAGAGCGCCTGAGAAGTCCTGCTTATGTAACGGAGAACAAGATGGTCTGGTTGTCTGATAAAAACATTTAGCGATAACGCAAAAACAGGGAGAATCTGGTTTGTCAACAAGTGGGTAAGCAGTACCTGTCCGGTTGGAAGTAGATAGCAGTCACTTTGCAGAACCAAAGTGACTGCTTGCGGGAAAAGGCTTGGTGTGGCTTGCTCAGTCCTATTGTATGAGAGAGTGCCTTTAAATCTTTTCTGGTTATTGTATTATATGAAAAATAATTGAATGATTTTGCTTCGTTCAGGTCAACATGGACAAACCATGTCCCTTTTGGTCAGATGAAAGACAGTGTGGGTCGAGTCAATGTGGCATAGCATTCTGTGACGATGAAGTGCCGGCCGGCTTACGACGGCCGGCCGTAGTGACAACGGTGCGTCTGCCAGGCTACGAAATCACAGTGTCCGACACGAATCACACGAATGATTCATCATCACAACGTCGTCGGAACCACACCACCCGCAACATCGTCAGCACTTCAACGCTTCAGGATTGCCCGAGCGCTGGACAACAAAGCAATGATTTCGATCCTATGGATAGAAGTCTTGATGAGGGATATCGTGAGCAACTTCGTGAAATGGATATTCATGATGATCAAGAGAACAAGTTCTGCGAGGTTGATGGTGCGTTTATTCTTTTGTTTTCTTGTTCTGATATCTTTCTTCCGGTTTTTCTTGATGCCAGCACCCTTTGTGCGTTTTTTGATAGTACAAGAGATGCTTTTTCTGTGCAAATAACCTTATCATTTCAACCTGTCGTGCTCATCACTGTCCATAACAATGTGGCCTGCTCTCATTTAGAAACATTGTGACCTACTCTCATCCAGAGAAATGGGCACTTCTAAACTTTTAGCATCCCGAGATCTCGATTTTTTTTGCTGAAACTCTGCTTGTCGAGGTTATATGGTGCTCTGATCGGAAATCTGACATTTATTTAACGCTGACGCCATTCGGCGTCAATTTCCAGGTGTCAAGTCCACACCGGTTTCAGGTGACGTAAGTGGCGAAGCCAAATTGCGCCAGCGCTAAAAACTTATGTCATTTCGTGGTCGTGGCGCTGATTTGCCCCTATAGGCAAAGTATAGGCAGAAAAAAGATTCTGGGGTCATAACAGTTCAGTAGCGCCGAAAAATATATAGCGTGCGAAAAGCATGGCTAGAAAGCGAACGCGGTCGTCGACCAATGCGCAGTTTGAACCCGCTGATACAGATTGCTGGTTGTGAAAGCATGGATAGTTGAGAATACGATCGTAGGGTAGCTAACTCGGATGAATGTAGCTCAGGGGTGGGGGAGGGATTGCTAGGTCAAAGTGGACTTTTCAAATGAGAAATAGATCGACTGATGTGTCTTTGGATTGTGATGGTGGTTGAGAAGCTGACACATACCTGCCGCGAAGATGTAAGATGTAAGAAGAAAATGAACAAAGTTGCGGAAGTTTCTGCGGGGAGCATACACCACACTCAAAACGAATTTCCGTCGTCAAGGTGGCTTCGAATGTCGCCCCGTAACTCTAGCCGGTTCATATCGGTTTTGTTCTCACGTGTGTACACTCGATTGCACTTGTCTTTACATTCAAAGCAGCTCTACATCCTAAATTTGTTTTGAACGTGAATATGCTTCCTCCATTCAGATAGCTAAACCCTGTTTAGAAAGAAACGGAGCAGATTTGGAGACAAGCCGTCAACCCAACACGTGTGTGGTCCAATTTCCTTGGACCCCGTTCCTGTTCACTATGGCAACCGCATTATCACCGCAATCGTCGAGCTCCTCGAGCAGATTTCTGAGTAGACAGCGCACAAAACCGCATACTTATATCGTGCGGGCGGCATGCTACCTTTTGGCAAAAGTAAAGTGCATGCTCGCCTCTCTCCCCCCCCCCCCCCCTTCTCTCTCGTCTTACGCTCTCTCCTCATAATTGTTATTGCCGCTGAAACCACTTTATCTTTGTTACATTAAAAGGTCAAATCCCAGTTCTAAGCGCATCCACCCTTATTCCTTCTCCTGTTGGACCAATGCAGTGGCACGGGTGTCGTACTGGAAAATTCACAGTGTCATGCTTGGAGCTTACGTCGCAGCTTTATGGACTTTTCGACTAATTTTTTGACTTTTCGACTTGGCGACCAGAAAAAAAATTGATTTTGTTTGCTTTGGAGTTGGCTGAGTTATATTCATCGTGGTCTTTGATCCGTTCCCCTCTTTCCCAATTACAGTGTTGTTGCATTTTGCTTAGTTATCATCGTATTTTAGATGAAGACTCTTCCGATATGCATTATGTTGATTTATCGAAGAATCCGGAACGATACACGGGATACAAAGGAGATTCAGCCGTTCGTGTATGGAAAAGCATTTATCAGGAGAATTGCTTCAAGTAAGTCTTCTTTCAAATTTACAAAATAGGATGCAATCTTTCCTTCTTAGTTCTAAGATGGTCTTTCAAGTCTTGTCCAAGCGCCTGCGTCACTTAGCACTGGGCCTTCGTTTCCAGATCACTTTTTGCACAAGTCTTTCACGTCGTTCATGTGCTTGAGAACAAGTCCTGACTCCTGGCTAGCCCACGCTTCTTCGTAATTTCCTACAATAAATGCTGTCTAACTCGTTGGGAGAATCCCATCAAAAAAAAAAAAAAAAGAAAAAAAAAAAAAAAAAAAAAACCTATCAAAGGCTGTTACTTGATCGCCGGACAAGAGGTCGTATTTTGGCCTGGTGGGGGAGGGGGGATGAGGGAGTGTTTCTTGGGAGGCAGAGGAGTGGGTTCCCAGAGGCATGAAATTTCGGGGAGGAAGGCCGTATTGACAGCACATTCACGATTCACGATTGTGTTGCCTGTGTTTTTTTTTAGATAGCGGAAATACTACTCGGAAGTTTCCGTGCTATCAACCCTTAGCGTCGTAATTTCTGCAATAAGTTATTCAAGTCCCCACAAAATGGTCTTTGGCAGGTTCCAATAATCGATACGTGTGCTTAATTGGCTCCACTCCAAGGTAATGCCTAGTGCGCATTCATCATTAATAGAACATGTTTTGAATATTTCTTACTGAACTATTCCTTATTTTCCTCTTTTCTTCAGACCCGACATGAAGTTCGACAAAAACTTTCTGATGCACCCCGACAACTTCGGTATGTTCCATTCTTACCATGGTTTTTCCTCGTTGTTATCCTTTCAGAATTCACTAAAAAATTTTTATTTGCAAGAAGAGTTTTTTTCTCACAATCAGTGTGTTCAGTGTTGCTCAGTGTGTTAACATAATCTAGCCTTTCACTTAATACCAGTACTTCTTTTTCATCAAATTAGTGTTTGCAGAAGGTATGTTAAGCAAGGCATTTCGTCGTTGTTAGAAATAGTGGGTTTGCGTGGAAAATGTGTGTTTCTTTGTGTTGTCTTTATCTTTCGAAGCTTTTCGGAAAACTCCATGGTCTGTCACACTTTTTCTTTTCCACTATTTTAGAGAGCATGACGAAGTTGCCATTCAGCAGGCCCACAGATTACGAAAACACATCTGGTAGTGTTCAAGTTTTTCAGGATTACTGTTATAGAAACTGGCTTCCTTTCCCTCAAAATCGATTTGTGGCTTGTCTTTTTCGGGTATCGCAATGCAGGTGCTTTTGGTAGGAACCGCGCTTAATGTTGTTTTTGAAGTGCGAATTATTTCAACGGGCTTTCAACGTGATTAAGATGGGCCACATGGCGGCGCTTCTGCGTTCCTGCCTCTAGCCGGGCCTTTGGTGCGTTCATACTTTGCGTCACCGGCATCATTTCAACAGGTGTGTTTCAACTGGCGTTTCAAGAGACTAGCATGGGTATCGATCTAGGGTATGGGAGCGTTCTGAGACTGTCCGCAAAAACTTCAAAACTGTCTGGTAGGCGCTCAAAACGCTGACGTACGCTCAAAACACTAGACTAATATCTACACTGTTCTAGTCGCTCAGAACGCTGCCCTGCGCTGGCCTTGGCGTACATTAGATCGATTCCTATACTTCCCTAGTCGCTCAGGCTGACGCAAAGTGTGAACGAAACCAAAGCCTTGGTACGGAGAAGAGTCACAGGAGTGCTGCCGTGTGGCCCAGCTGAGCTATTGTGACACCTTAGGCGGTTGAGAGAATAAGATAGGTGCCTTGCCCTGCAGATCTGAGGCAATTCAAATGAGGGTCGATCTTCTCCTCGTCTTACTTTTTTCAAAATTCCGCTTCAAATTTAGTGCCGATCGTCAGATCGCTACACCCAGTAATTCTCTCTTAAAGTGCTATTTTGTATGTACGTTCTTGCGATTAGTGATAATAGGGCGTTTGGCTTAGTCCTTCAAGTGAACTGCAGAGTACTGCAACTCCTCCACTTTGTAAATACATCATGAGCTTTACTTCGTTAAGCTTAGATACTTGGACAGGAAAAAAAATCAAAAAAAATGTAACCCTTCACCTATCATTAACTTTGTTGTCCTAGGGTACATCAGAAAATACGTATTGAAATATTTTTACCAAGTCTTTTCATGAGTGTCTACGTAGAACATTTCAACTTAATGCAACTATTGTGGGCCTTTGCTGTATGGCAATCTTGTCATTCTGATAGCACTATCGCCACAGGCTGAATTCCGGCCATACTCGGTAGAAGGGGGCCCACAGAGCCCCATCCACACGCTTGTTATGGTGGTTGTATATGACACAAGCAGAGATGGCTGCTATGAGGCTGTGGGCTTTATTAGTAAATGCTGCGGTGGCGTGTGATGCAAATTATCTATATGTACTTCTCCGGAGGAACCGTTTTAATTGGTAATTTGTAAGGTACCGAACTCGATGCTCACATCGAGTGTCGATAGGTCTGATGATTTTAAGTTTTCAGTGCGCTCTCGCTAGGGATTTCTCCTTTGCTCGGAATAATTACGCTATTCCTCTTATGTTCTTTCCTTCGTTTGGATTGGGAGACAATCTCCTCGTGAAAATTCCCTTGCTTAACGAACGCTGTTCAGGGTTATGCTTGGAGAAAAGAGTTTTCTATAGACTCATCTCGGGTTTCCACTCTGCTATCACAATATCAATAGCGGCATACAATTACAAACCTGGTAAGTCGTGAGGTACATTCTTTTCTTGTCGTTGAAGTCAACTATTAACTTCAGCACCTGCTGGATTCGGACCTGGAACATGGTTCCGCAATACTGAGATGTTTGCCGGGCGATTCGGAACGAAATGGAGCTGGGAGGGACCACAACGGTAAGTGAGTCAAAGGCTGTGTTCATACTTCGCGAAGACGTGCGTTGAAGCGCTGCAACGCGCTTCGACACACCACAATTGCAACAGCGCTCCAGTGCTATAGACGCGAATGCGGTCGCAGACGAGAAGCGATTGACGCCGGTCGCTTGTGCATTGAGAAAGTATGGGAGGAACAACCGGATGGAACAGACAGCGTGATTAGGCGTATACGGGTAACCACGCAGTCTGTTGCCGATCGGCACCCAGGTAGAGTGAACGCAGTACCTGCCCTCTCGTTATCCTTTCTCTCACGAAATAGAAACGGCTGGCGCCGATCGATTCCTGTCTGCAGCTATGTTTGCGTCTACAGAATTGAAGCGCTGTTGCAATTGTAGCGCGCCGAAGCACGTCACAGCGCTTCGACGCACGTCATCGCGAAGTCTGAACGCTGCCTGACTACGGTGATGCAACACTCTCGAGTTGTATTGTGTACGAGGGGATTAGGATTTTGATGAATTTGTTTCATATGTTGGTTTCAAGCTTATTTTTGCGTGTTCATTCCGATTTTTGCAGATTGAAAAATGTTTATTTTGTGTTCCTGCTGGAGCTGCGTGCTCTTCTGAAAGTTGGACCTTATTTGCAAAAAGAGCTGTTTTACACTGGCAATGAAAAGGTAATTCAATGTTCAACGTTGATTCTACTGAAATCATAGTTTTCAAGTTAACTAGGAAGTGGTGCTTACCAATAAATGACTGCTGTACTGCAGCAAAGAAAAACTGATCCCATTAAAAGGCTGGGATCACGGTATATCTTTCCAAGCTCCGCACAATATTCTCTCCGGATTCATTTTGAGATTTGTTACTCTAAGACTTGACCAGACTTTCTTATTTTCCATACTCTACTCCTGACCCAATCCTGCTCACCTTCAGTAAATCTTTGAGTGTAGAGCAGAAGTTCTACGTTTCGACTACTGTATGAATTGCCGGAATTATTCACAACTACTGGACTCGTCCTTCTGCAGCTCTTCCGCAGAGAACCAACGAGGTCGTGGGCAAATGCGCCTGCGTGACTTCCTTGATTTTTTCCACTTCCATGATTTTTTCTCCGTCGCGGCAGAACTAAACCTGTTGCACTACACCCGATTCTTTTATACAAAACGCATTTTTCTTGTCTGCCTATATACGAGGGCCGTTGAAATTATTCTCGGTGTCGGGGTAATTTAGCAGTGACGAAGGGAATTGAATCACTTCAGTAAGTAACAACACTCCCTGAGAGGTATAAATACAAAATTTCATTTAGTTATCATCAATGCTGCTCTAATTATCCTTGGGGCAAGAGTATCAGAATGATTGATGCGCAGTGTTGAGGAGATTATTAATGATTAAAAAAATTGAGAAAAATGAAAAGAAAATTGAGAAAATGAAATGAATTTAGGAATTAGAAATTTAGGAAATTAGGAATTACTTCTTTCCCCAACCTAAAAAAGGATTCTTCGTGGAAAGCGTTTTTTTGACATCGAAGAGCTGAAGGCAGCAATTAACGCACATTTTGGGGAGAAGGAGGAAAAATATTTTATTGAAGAGTTAGTTTCCCGAGCAAACAAGTGTATGAGGTTATGGGGGCTACATTGGAAAATAATTTTTTTCTGCGGAATTTTCTGCCTTTTCTTCATACCTATACCGAGAATACATTGAACACCCCTTGTATGACCCAAAGCGTTAATGTGGGTCTTGCATTGTGATTTTCGCGTTGCATTTAAAGTTTTCTCCCTGCCATTCGAATGAATAATGGAGGCGGTGAGGAACGTCATGTCATCCTTTTATCAATAAAGTTTTTTTTCCAGGAGGACATTGAAACTCGTGTTGCGATCGATGAGTTGTTGGACATCATTCGACAGTTTCCAGACCAATTCGATGAACATGAGCTGTTTACGGTACTGTCAAGTTGATCGTTCCAGAACATTTCCGAGTCGTTCTCTGGATGGCCTTCTTTTAATAGGAAGACTTTTTTAGGGTGTAGAAGCACATGCTCGCGAACTGCGAGAGGAATTCAGATCACATTTCCTCAATATTTCACGGATAATGGATTGTGTTGCTTGCGATAAATGCCGGTTGTGGGGAAAAGTGAGTACTGGACTTCTTTCAAGTAACTCTAATATTTTGCCCTACGTTTTACCCTGTTTTACCCATGGTTTTTACCACACGATTGTTAGCATTTCGTTGCTCTTTCACTTGAATTGGCATTCTTTGTTTCAGGTTCAAATTCACGGCATGGGTACCGCACTGAAAATCCTTTTCTCAGATCTACCACATTCTCACTACATGGTTAATTCTAAAGGATCCATAGTAAATGCTCCGTTCCAGTTGACTCGGTAAGTTTTTTGAGTTACTAAACACTGGATGTAAATGAAAGGCACGTTCACATGATGTTCAAGGCACTGAAGACATACTTTGCGGAGTGGGATTAAATTCTGATGGGAAGATATTAAGTGACCCGCAAGAGAATGAAAATGCAAACGGAACCGTCGAAAACGCCCTAGATAAGAGCTTCGTAATTTCTTTCAGTGAGTGAGCGTATGGCCAAAAGAGTGCGTTTCAGAGTGAGATCTCGATTGTTGATGTCACAACGGTACCAGTGAGCCCTTGGAGGCACCCCCGCATTCATTTAATATTCATGCGCCTTTTTTGAAGATGTCATTCGCGGCTGCGAACGTGGAGAATGTACCACTTTCGCAGCTCCAAAATACGTGAAGAAAGCGCCCGCTCGCGGAGAGGCCGCCGCCCCGCCCCATGTCCACCGCACTCCCAACTTTCACTCCTAGAGTTTTAGTGGAAGCGTTGCTCCTCTGCTAGCTCTGTTTCGAATGGTCAAAATGGGTGATAAAAGGGAGCTGGTACCATTGAGTGAGAACTCGTCCGACCACACCTTTTTTCCGCCTTGTGCATGTGCAAACGCGGTTCGCGATGGGGTTCTACATGAAGCATTTTGTTTTAATGTGTTTTTCTTGAGTGTTGTATTTATGATCTTGTTATTAGTATTTGAGCTACACAAATTACCATTTTTGAACTCGGTTCGTGCCTTTAAGCCGAGCTCTTCGGTAGCTTCTGTAATACGAAAGTTAGCGTAGAATGTGCTTTTATAATGCGCCTTTATATCACAGAACTGAGCACTTCAGTCCAGCTGTCAGGGATAGACAGTTTTGGAGAGCTGCCGGCTCCTTGTATAATATTTATTTTGCACTCTTTTAAGGAATGAAGTGGTTTCGTTGTTCCAAAGTCTTGGAAGGTACTCGTCCAGCATCAAGGAGATCGACGAATTCCGAAAAGAAATGCTAGTTGGTTACCGTGGTATAGATGAGTTATGAGCTTCGCGATCATTCCTTTGTAGATTTGTTCCATGCTTGTAACAATCTTTTGCTAGCCTAATAGTTGTTCACTTGTCATTGCCTTTTCTCGTAGCAAATCTTGCGATTTCTAGTAGAATCTAGGTTAGAGTTTCGGTAATTTTCTCGAGTCAGGTTACGGCTTGCTTTGGGTATCAGTTTCTGAAAAGACGATTCTTTTTCTTGGAGCATTAATATTATATTCATCCGTGTGTACATGTTGTTTGTGCAGAGTATATGGGTTACTCTTAATCACTAAATTCTTTCTTCTCATTACTTTCTTCCAAATGCGTTAATCAATTAAATTAAATTTATTAATGTCGCTGTGATATTTTTTCATCTATTCATTTTAAGCGAATGATTTGTTGTTAAATGTTCAATTGTGTGCAATGGATTGGTGCGTTTGTACATAATGGATAAATTGTTTTACACATGTTCCTTTCACGTGAATTGAGCCAGGGTACCATACATACCATACAGACGGTTCATAGGTGCAGGGTGTCAGATGTCACTTAAACGTTGCGCACCCTTAACAAAACCCCTCCCTGACTGTTGCGCAGGCCTGTACAAGTTCTTCGGACTTGCTGGCCACATGACACCCTGCACCTATGAACCGTCTGTATGGTATGTATGGTACGCGGGCTCAGTTCACGTGAAAGCAATATGTGTAAAACAATTTATCCATTATGTACAAACGCACCAATCCAT